GTGGTAGTAGTAGGAGTAGCAGTAGCAGTAGTAGTAGTAGTAGTAGTAGTAGTAGTAGTAGTAGTACTAGTAGTAGTGTAGTAGTAGTAGTAGTAATAGTCGTGGTGGTGGTGGTGGTGGTGGTAGTAGTAGTAGTAGTAGTAGTAATAGTAATACTAGTACTGGTACTAATACGAGTACTAGTACTAGTACTGGTACCAGTACTATTTGTACTAGTAGTACTGGTAATACTAGTAGTACGAATACTATTAGTAATACGAGTAACACGAGTAGCACGAGTAGTACGAGTAGTACGAGTAGTACTAGTAGTACTAGTAGTACTAGTAGTACTAGTAGTACTAGTAGTACTAGTAGTACTAATAGTACTAGTAGTACTAGTAGTACTAGTACAAATAATAGTACTAGTAGTATTAGTAGTACTAGTAGTACTAGTAGTACTATTAGTACTAGTAGTACTAGTAGTACTAATAGTACTAGTAGTACTAATAGTACTAGTAATACCAGTATCGTTTCGAGGCGTCGCCTGCGACGGCAACGGCACGCTTGCGGGCCAGCACATGATTGCGCGGCATCGGTGCTGCGCAAGCGAATAGAATGCGGGCATCAGGAGATCGCTTTGCTCGCCGCCCTCCGCTTGCGCAATGTGATGGGAAGCACCCTGCCCATCAGTCCACGTGTAGGCGCTGGCGGTATAGTGTAAAACAGCCGAGCGCAAGGGAGCAGCGGACGGAGTTCCGGGCGAGGGCCGCCAGCATCGCTTGGCGGGAGACGTGGTCGTAAGCACCAACCGCGTCTACGGACAGGATGGTGGCACCAGGGTCGATTTCGGTTGCGGCCCTCAGGAGACATGTAGCAGAGCCTCAGCGCCGGCACGCGCGCTGAGGCCATACTCGTAAGGCAGGCGCGCACTCTCGAGTTGCGATGCGAAGGCTTGCGCAAGGGCGCGCCCCACAAACCGCCGCAACACGTCACCTATGACAAGGGCCCGTATGCCACGTCCATCCGGCTTTTGCAACGTGACGATTCGGCCGACACAGATGGCAGCAAGCGCCGTGGCCATGGCCGTGGCCGGAACATCGACCTGCGCGAGGTGCTGCGTGCCGCAATGCAAGAGTTGGCTGTCGACGTCCACAACGATGCGGAGCTGCTCGTTGGTAGCTCCTGACGGGCGGTATGTGTGTGTGTGAGAGAGAGATCAGGTTGTAGAGAGAGATCAGGTTGTGGAACGACGTCTCGGAGTGTCTCCTCGCGATGAGGAATGCACCCCCCGCAACAAAGCCAGCAACTTCGCAAATCCACGCAAGTTGCGCAGACTCCGCAGTAAAATGCGAAAAAATATCCAAAGCCAAGAAGCCACGACTTACAGTGGCCCAAGTGTGCCCAACTCATCTTGCCTTACACTCCTTCGCAGGAGCTTTGCCACCGTCCATTGATCGCTTTTAATTGCGTCTGCCCTGGTGTGCAGTTGATGCCAGCTTGGTGTTGCAGGTACCATGCGCGGCTTTAGCACCACTGCATCTTCTCACATGTATGTGCCCGTATGTGCCTTTCCCTGCTTCCTTCCGGGTTGGTGACGGTTCTCTGCTTCTGCAGCAGCCATGCCTTTCTCAGGGCCTTCGAGCCTTTGTCGGCTGCCTCCCAGTCATGCTTTCGGCACGCCCGCGAAAGATGCAGAGAGGGAAGCTGTTTGTAGGGGCCTTGATCAGAACAGGGTTTGAGGGTATATTGTAGCACTTGGTACTACTAATTATTGGAACCAGAAGCCAAGGACTTGTGGAGTGTGTCATTCGCTGCAGCAATGCTGTCCAGCCGTGTTAAGATTCTTGAAGTGAGTCTCGTTCTCTCAGAGTAAGACAACATAATACTGCTCAGAAAATAAGGGACCGGTACATGAAACTACAAAAAACGAGTAACGAATAGGATCTTTGCTATACAGACCCAACAACTGATAGCGACTTCGACTACTGTCTCCACATGTCTCTTACTACAAGGCAGTTTGAGGGCCTCCACATTTGATCCCGCACCAGCGTCCAAGTAGCACCTGTCGAAGCTTTGTTGCGTGTTTTGCTGGCAGCTTCAGTGAGCCAGCTGTGCTTGTCTAGAGCAGACGTCCGGACAGAGTAATTTATAGGGGCCTTAACAATTAGAATAGAGTTTTGGGGTCCTTTATAGTATAGATATAACAAGGAGCCCCCAAAATAATAAATGTATTTATTGAGGCCCCTACATCAAGTAGATCCACCGCAGAGAGGCGAATGCCCGTCATAAAGCTCCTAAGGGTTGCGGCAGCCAACCTGGCCACGGAGGAAATGCTTGTCCAGATGCTGCGCACGCAGAATCTTCCTGCACGTGCAGCCCGGAAAAATGCGAACAGGAGCAGCAATGTTAATGTCGTCACTTGCGTAAGTACAGACAAGCACAAGGCTATATCTATAGTGCTTGATGATCATGCTGGGTTTTCATTCGTGTGCGGCTGCCAAGGTGAACTCTCTGCAGCCATTAGTATGAAGATAACCCTAAAAACTTTACACTGCAGGGCAAACCACCCACTGCACCCACACAAGCATCACACTTCTATATATATATATATATAATAACAATAAGAATAAAATACTAATGATAATAAGAATAATACTACTGCTACTAACAACAACAATAATAACAACATAAATAAATATATATATATATATATATATATATATGTTATTATTATTATTACTGTTATATATATATATATAAATAAATAATGTATATATATATATATATATGTTGGCAAGAATGTTCATGTTGATCCAAGCAGCCTGAACACTGAGACCTTCTGGCGCGTGCTGAAACCAGTTGCAATTCCTCGAGACTAGGCTTTCAAGCTGCAGGCTAAGGTTTAGGGTTTAGGGCTTCTCAATTCATCCTACTTGTACAAAAGCACAAAACTGTGCAAACCTTTACCTCTAGCTTTAACTAGTTAACTGCCCGGCAAGAAGCCATGCAAAGAACGAGAAACAGGCTTGATCATCTTCTTCCACCTTGGCTGCACAAATGCAAGTAGCTTCGAGGACAGGGCCAGCATAGGACTGCCAATCCGAGTCATCTCTAAAAAGGCGCTCATGAACTGCGGAGCCTACGTTAGGTTTAGGGTTTGGAGTTTAGGGACGCTTGCATCGTAACGGGCTCCTTTGCGGAGTGGACCAGCCACAAGACCGCCGTGAAGATATCAACTGCACCTGCATCCTACATCCTCAACACCAGAACCCCCATCAACTGAACCCTAAACACCTAAACCCTGCGAGCCCTAAACCCCCAAACCAGCCCTAAACCCCCAAACCCGAAGAGCCTTAAGAGCCCGAAGAGCTCTTAGGCCCCACCACCCCCTCAGAGCCGGCCTCTGAAGTGACGCTCTGCGACCCAGAGCACCGCGCAGCGACCCAGAAGAACAAGGCCAAGGCTGCCTTGAGCTGCGGTTTAGGGATTAGGGTATTTAAGGTTTGATGATCATAAGGCTTAGGGTCTCGAGACTAGAGTTTATGACTTCTGACTTCTTCTTGAGAGAAGGGGGGGTTGGGGTTTCCCCAGGCTTTCGGGGACATGCTTGGGGTGTAGTCGTCCCAGGAGCTCCTTTCCATAACTTTTGGGACTGTCAAAACCGATGTCCCAGTCCTACGCCTACCACGCCCAGTACCCGACTATCGTAGAGATCTATGCAAATTAACAAAGGGATCAGGGTGTACAGCCACGACTACTGGTGCTACTGATACTAGTGCTACGACGACGATGACGACACCAACTACAACTGCTACTTCGGCAACTTCTGGCACTACCACTACCACTACAAGCCAAAACCACTAGGACTAGGACCGGGACCACTACCGCCACCGCCAACGCCACCAATTCCCCACCACCACGACGACGACGACGCTAGTACTGCTACTACTACTACTGCTACTACTAGCTACTACTACTTCTACTACTACTACAACTACTACTGCTACTACTACTACTACTACTACTACTACTATTGCTCGTGCTGCTGCTGCTACCACCATTACTAGTACTACTACTACTACTACTACTACTACTACTACTACTGCTGCTACTACTTCTGCTACTACTACTACTACTAATACTACTACTACTACTACTACTACTACTACTACTACTACTCCTACTCCTACTCCTACTCCTACTCCTACTGCTACTCCTGCTCCTACTCCTACTCCTACTCCTACTCCTACTCCTACTACTACTACCACTACTACTACTACTACTACTACTACTACTACTACTACTCCTGCTGCTGCTGCTACTACTACTACTACTGCTGCTAC